TGCTCGTGCGTTTAATGTGAAATTGTGAATTCCGGTTTCCCTTTTACTTAATTGGAAATAGGTAGTTATAATTTGGTTAAATGCTAAATTTGGTCTCTTAACTTTACAAAATGCATATTTTTTATTCCTCAACAAAATTTTGCACTTTTTTGATCCCTCAACTATACGAAATGCACTCCGTTACTCCTTTTGTTAATTTGACCCGTTAACTTGCTCATGTGGCATTTTTTTATAGTTTTTTTTATGACGTGGCAAAAACAAATTAAAAATGTGTCAATGTAAAATTTTTTTTAATTACAACTCATCACAACTCATATTATTACTATTTATATTTTTAAAAAATAAAATAAAATAATTCTATCCATCTTCTTCCTTTCTTTCTTTCTTCCTCTTCTTCCTCGGGTCTTTCTTCCTCTTCTTCCTCGGGTCTTCGAACGGAACCCAGCTTGAGTTCGACGGAACCCAGTGGTTGGGTTCCACCGAACCCAGCTCCACTTTTTTTTTTTTTTTTGTATGGTTGTTTGCAGATTATCCAAATTGCAGGTTGTTGTGAGTGATTTTTTGACAATTTGTTTTTTTTTTTTGTTATATGATTGTTTGTCAAGAGATTATCCAAATTGTAAGTTGTTGCGATGGATTTTTAGACAACTAGGTTCCAGTGAATCGAGCTAGGTTCGATGGAACCTATTTGCTGGGTTCCGACGAACCCATCTCTACTTTTTTTTTTTTTGTTATATGTTTGTTTATTAAGAGACTATCCAAATTGCAGGTTATTGTGAGTGATATTTGATATTTTTTTCTTCATATTTTTTAAATATTGTATAAATGATTTCAATCTTGAAAATGAAAAGAACATCGTTGATGGAAAGAACAGAAGCAGAAATCAACGGGTAAAGAAGCAATTCTTAGTGGTGATGTGGGACTCATTTGGATGGATTTGACGCGTTTTGGCCACGGTAGCATGACATGGCAAAAGTTTTTGTACATATCATTACTTTTTTAAATTTTGCTTTTCACATCATCAAAAAAAATATAAAAAATGCCATATAAGCAAAGTTAATGACCCAAATTAATAGAAGGACTAACGGAGTGCATTTCGTATAGTTGAGGGATCAAAAAAGTGCAAAAATTGTTAAGAGACCAAAAATGTGCAACTCACTAAAGTTGAGGGACCAAATTTAACATTTAACCTTATAATTTGCATTTTCTGTTACCAGCTGCTCAACCACGCCACTCACCTGCATGTAAAGGGATCAAGGGGCTGCCACTTTGATTTTAAAGTGAGAAGCAATGTGAATTCATTTTTTCCCCAAAAAAACTTAACTCTCAAAGTTGTTAAAAAAATGTTTGATAATTTTTGTGAGAAAAGTTTGTTTAATTACTAGAAAACAGAGTATATTTGACAAAAAATTCTGTCAAAAATAGCCATATTTCTATCGATTATAACTCAATTGACAATCATATATGTCGTATAAATGGGAGTCAATAATGAGTATAATCGACAGCTAATTTTTTTGTCAAATATAACTACATATTCGACAGTCAATATTTGTCAATAATTAATATAATTGACAGAAATTGGCTGACGATAATTATTTTTAATTTTTGGAAGCTATATTCGACAACCTAACGCTATGGAATAGAGTCATATAATCGACAGCATTAGATTGTCGAAAATGTTTTTTTTTTTTTTTAAGCTATATTCGACAACCTAACGCTATGGAATAGAGTCATATAATCGACAGCATTAGACTGTCGAAAATGTTTTTTTTTTTTTTTGAAGTTATA